AAGAAGAAAAGGGATTTGGGCAGTGGCCTCAGGAATGTGCGCCACGCCCCATGGGCTAATACCCCTCAAATTCTGCAGGGAGTAAAAGGGTATTTTTGAAAGGGGGACCATAACTTTCCTCCAAGTCTTATTCAAGTGTAGAGTATGAGGAATACAGTATTAAATACCCTTTCTTTAGAAGTATCCAAGTTGCCTGGTTCCTTGTCCTGTTGAATACTTGCCTACAATAGGATTCACAGGCATTACAACAGGATTCTTTCTATCAATGGTGGACTATGGTCTGGCAATTTTTTTCCTTTCAAAGGCAACTTGATCAAACTGAATTAATCACAAAATTTTTCAGTTTCCTGGTTATATAAATAAATTCATCAAGAATGTCACAAAACCAAATGGTTCATCAGTGTATTACTGTCAGAAGTGCTTTGAACTTGATGGTAAAACACTACCTGACTGTTTGTGAAAATTGAATTGTTGCATGTAAACATCCAGAAGACAACCATCATCGAGATTATGGACCAGCTAAAGCAATGGCTGTTACACAAGTAATTTGTGCAATGTTTGAACAATCCCATAGAAGTGGCAAACAACCAAGAGTATAATGTAATTGTCAAAATTTTGACAAGTACATTATAACAGAGGTAAATGGGAGGTCCCAAAAATCAGAGCATTCTTTCCAATGCTCCTGGCAATTAGAGAATGAACCCAGCAAAAACAGACCCCCTCCCAGCCTCTTGGGAAGGACCAGACGGTTTAATCCTTTTGGGTTGAACAATGTAGGATAAAATGGTAGGTAACCATTCCTAGGACCCTGGAAATGTTCTTCTCAACAATTAAGTTACTGTTTAAATAAATACACCTGGGGCTGTTTATTGCTGGTTGAAAAATAAATAAAAACAAAATAATTGGAACATTACCCAGAAGGGCGGCGGTCTTGAACGACCACAACTGCATCATGGTCTCCGCAACTGTCTATCTCTTGTTTTATTTCTTATTAAACTGTTGGTCCTCCTCACTTGTGATGTTCTCTTTCCGACAGCAAACAGGGTTCTGACGAAGGCGACTCGTGCGCCACCTTATATTCAATATCTTGCCTCTATGGTGGTGAGATTTACAGCTCCTTATATAGCTTCTTTTTCCCCGAATTTTCCTCATCATCATTATTATATTTAGTCTGCCTCTGTTGTTTCGGTGACCCGGCCTCGGACGAGCCGCCACAAGGAAGGCCTTGTTGCGATACGTCGTCTCACTTCTTCAACGGAGGCATTTCGAATGAGCGTTTATAGTCACTTCAGGTTTATTTTCGTGAAGGTTGCTCAAAGACAGTGACGCTAATTGGCGTCGACCGTGTTGAATTTTATGCGAAGCACGTAAAATTATTTTTGCAAGGACTGGAATCTAGGTCTGGGAACAGCTTATGTTTCACAAATGAGCATGAGCACAACCTCATTGGAAGTTATGCTGAACAAATGGGGGATTTTTATGGCGACTGTGGGGGTTTTTTTTTTTTGGTTTGATGAACCCTTTTCTTCAGTTGGGCAATGCTTGATTACATAGGTTAGGTACATTTTATATGTTTCCATTCTGGGCTGAAACTGGTACAATATCCCGAATTAATTTGCTAAGCGATTGAATTTTTGCATTTGTTTCAAAAGATATTTCCCCTGTGAGATTGTACAGAAGAAATACTAATGATTATTCATACTAGTATGCCAAAATTGCTGGAAGATGTACACATTTTATGTAGGACACTGAATGCGAGAATAAAATGGAATATTTTCTGATCCTCTATTTCTCGTAGAACGTTTTTCTCGACAATCTCAAGAATTTTCTTTTCTTTTCAAGTATTTATTGTCTGCTGGGGACACGTGGTGTGAAGATTTTTGCATCCATCATCATTAAATCCTCGATATGATATCTTCGTTTGGTTACCGGTCAAGTGTTGATGATAACCATTCAAGATTTAGCTGAATTGAATGGTTTTATTATTTAAGAAAATGTTTGATTGATCTATTGCCATTATTGTAGTACAATACTGACCGAAAATACCGGAATCATCGTGGAAGCTGTGCGAGTTCAATAATTACCGTCAATAAACGCTAGAATTTGGATATTCAATAAATGCTACTTTGTTTTGAAGGAATTCTCTGCTTTCAATTAATTACCCTAGTGGTGACGGTATTTGTGCACTATTTATTTATCATATTTGAAAAGCAGCCGTTCCGCTGACGAAGGACGAAAAAAAGTGAATAAATCCAACTTCCTGAACAATTAACAGATGGTCTTGGATATGCCTGGAATTTCGAGTACTCCTAAGTGACCAAGGCCGTTTTCCAAGAAATGTCCCCAGAAAAATCGTTGATGAGCGTTATGACATTTCCGAGCGTTGTTAGCAATTGACCCAGGTTCTTTGTCACGGTTCGGAATCTGGTCAAATATTTCTAGCGCTTTTCGGATTGGATATACATGCACTACAGCATTTGCACGCTACTTTTTCAGTGCGCTAAAAAACAAAAATGATAATGATTCAAATCTAAAAATGATTAGTATCAGAGGGAAAAATTCACATTTTTGCGACTCTTGGCCTGTGCTTCAGAAATTTGCAGGTGCCAAAATTTTTTTCACAAATTTGTATGCCTTAATGCATTGATGAAGTGTGTGAAACCAGCAATAAAATTTAATCAAAATGTTGGAATGCATTGGGGTAAATGAATTAATAGGAGAAGAGTCATTGTGCAGAAGTTCTTTGGTGAACTTTGAAAACACAGTAACCAGCAAATAATAATTTGGCCATTGCAACCTGCATTGCAAAGCCATGGGCAAGTCATTGGGGCCCAAACGTTGGGCTAATGGCCATTTGGTCACTGCCCAATGTCTGAGGGCAGGCATTCCCCCAAATGTTGCCCAAGGCATGCTGGCTTGCATTGGGAACCCATTCTGGCAAACATTGTGGCGTTCCCGCAAACATTGGCCAATGCATGTGAGAATGGGTTCCCAACGCAAGCCAGGAAAGTTTGGGGGAATGTCCCCAATAAAAGCATCCCCCATGTCTGAAAAGCAGTAGGAAAAATGAAAAAAAATCCCATTCAACTGCTGCTGTTCAATTCTTTATTTTGCCTTCTTTGTGTTACACTCTTTCCTCTTTACTTCATCTCTGTGTGCTTTCTGTTCAAAATATTCTTTCCTGCAGCTGCTCCTTTGCTTTGAATCTGCTGTCCTGATGATGCTCATCCTGAGTTTCAAACTGGGGCCATCTGAATGAGAGTCAGTCACCTTCACATCTAGCTAAGTACTCACAAGCTAGATGCAATGCAAATACTTACTTATACTAAAATAAGGTATTATCAGATTCTTTTAGAAAATTAGGACCTGGAGTGCTTTTGAGGTGTAAAAGGAGTTCAGGAAATCATTAATTGTGTAAAACACCTCACCAATATTTTCATCATTCAAAAATCTGACCTTTTTTTTACATTGATGCTGAAATAATTCTCAAAACATTTTTGCTCAAAAACAATTCTGTTGAATTAATGAAAATTTTCAGCAATGTTCAATATTAATTTACTATAACAAATGCAGAAAAAAATTATTGTAGCTGGATCATCCAGCTCCAAAGAATTGCAATAAACTGTAAAAACAACAAGCCAATATCAAACATGTTTCCAAGACTCAAAGGTCTGTATAAAGCTACATACAACAATGGTCTGCAATGACATGCAATGTGGAGCTATGTACATTGATGTGCATTGATGTGCATCAATGTACATCAATATGCATTGATGTGCATCAATATATGTTCATTGATGTGCATTGATGTGCATTGATGTGCATCAATGTGCATTGATGTGCATCAATGTGCATTGATGTGCATTGATGTGCATCAATGTGCATTGATGTGCATCAATGTGCATTGATGTGCATCAATGTGCATTGATGTGCATCAATGTGCATTGATGTGCATCAATGTGCATTGATGTGCATCAATGTTCATCAATGCTCATTGATGTGCATCAATGTTCATCAATGCTCATTGATGTGCATCAATATATGTTCATTGACGTGCATTGATGTGCATCAATGTGCATCAATGTGCATCAATGTGCATCAATGTGCATCAATGTGCATCAATGTTCAGCAATGTTTTCACTTGAATATACAGTACTTATTTTGGTCATTACTTCAAACTTTGCAGTTGCTGGTGCAATTTATAATTATCTGGCATTTATGCAGGCAATCTGCAATATGTTGTTTATTTGACTCATCAGGATGATTTACAAAATCTCAATATAATAAATATATTGTATGCATTTATTATTTCCATGGTTGCAGTTTATACATTGCCAAACACTTTGGCACTGCATTCTTGAATGGTGCTCTCAACAGGAGCAGATTTATGTCTCACAAAATGTTGGGTGTACCATTCCAAAATGCACCCTCCAATGCATTTCAGAATGACCTTCATCTCCAATGGTGTTCTTAATCGACTGCCAATGTGTCTTGGAATGCTTCCCTGAGAATGCCACAGCAGGGGGCATTAGCTCAAAATTGCAACCATTGAGAGAATGGGTTGCAGAATGCATTGGCAATCTGTTTTCCTCAATGGTTCACAGCCCAATGCCCCCATTATTTGCTGGGTAGGTAGAGACTTAAAAATTTACAGTACATTATAAAGAATTTCTAAAGGAAAAATAGTCTTTTTTTGCTGTACCTGATAATTGAACCAGAAACAAAATGTTGGTAATAAGGGGGTTAAGTTTTGAACACTTGACTTGATGATACATGTTTTCAGTGGTATTATTGGCATAAAGGATGTATGGCCTCCAAAGATTTTTCAATAATCTTCCAAACAATAAAGTTAGATATTAAATCAGGATGGTAAAAAGGGGGTTCTGATTTGGGTGTATTTTTTATAGCCAGATGCCAACATGACTTGCAATTGAAACAAACTAGAGCCCAGCAAATAATTTTGGCATTGCAAAATGCGTTGGGAGGGCATTCACATGCCCTTATGGCAAGACTGATGTGGAAATGTCATCTTGGTCTTCACTCAATGGCTCAATGCCTTGCCCTCTAATGTTGGCAGGGGGCATTTTGAAATGGGCTTGGAACCCATTGCCAACAGGGTTGAAACCATTGAGCCTGAAAGGCAATAAAAAGGGCAATATTGCCTACCATTCATTTGCCATGGCCAAATGCATTCCCAAGGTGATGCCAATGGTATTCCCCTAATGTCTGACAGCTTTGAAAAAATAAAATAAATTCCCCATTCCCTTGCTGCTATTTACTTCTTCATATTGCCTTCTTTGTGTTATACTCTTTCTTCTTTACTTTATCTGTGTGCTTTCTGTTCACAATATGCGTTGCTGCTGCTGCTCCCTTGCTTTGAATCTGCTGTCCTGATGATGCTCCTCATGGGTTTCAAACTGGGAACATCTGAGTGAGAGTCAGTCACCTCCACATCTAAAGCTATGCACTCACAAGCTAGATCCAATGTGAATAGGGTATGCTAATTATACTAAATGAGGTATTTCCATATTCATTCTGAAAATCAGGAGATGGAATATTTGTGTGGTAAAAAAGGAGGTCATGAATTTATTTTCTATGATCCTCACCTCCATTTCAATCATTAAAGAATCACAGCTTCATCTGCCTTGATGCAATAATTTAAGCAATATTTTTTCTCAAACACTATTCTGTTGATGAATGAAAAATTTCAGCAATGTTCAATATTAATTTGCTGTAACAAATTCAAAACCAAACTTATTCTTGCAGCTGGATTCAGCTCCAAAGTATTGTTATATACTGTTGAAAAATAAATCAATGATAAAAAATTTCCCAAAACTTTGAAGATCTGTAAAGAGTTTGCTAATTAAGATAGGAGGGTGTTTAAAAAAAGCAAAATGTTCCCCAAAATGAGGACAATCCAAATTTTTTCTTATACTGAGCAATGAATGCTTGACAAATATTCAATGATCATTTGATGTATGCTCAATGATCATTCAATGTTCAAGTGAACATTGCTTGATGATCAAATGATCATTGAGTGTACATTGAATGATCATCAAGCATTCATTGAGTGTTCATTGTTCAGTACAAGAATAAGTTTGGATTGCCCATGTTTTGGGCAACATTTTGCTTTTTAAACACCTTATTTCTATTTCAAGTAGCAAACTTTTTACAGATCTTCAAAGTTTGGGGAAAATTTTACACATTGCAATATTTTGTAATAGCTTATAGCAGTTCTTCAGAGCTGAAACAGCAGAGTGAACTGCAATGTTTGATTGCATAACACTGTGAACATCATGTTTCACTGTGATGATCTTGTGAACATAAGACATCAATTCATTCTAGTCATTATAATTTTAGAAAATTTTTGAAATTATTATTCAAAAATATTGAACACATTACAATAATGCCTTTCAATACATTTTTCTATAATATATGTGCCCTCCCATTGCCAACCCATTCAGAATGCATTTGGCAATGCCACTGAAAACAGCCTGGACAGCTTTTCCAAATAATGTTTTGAATACACATTGCCAATGTGTGGTCAATGCCAATTTGAGAATGCCTATTTTTTACAATGTTGGGAGAATGGCATTCCCAATGGCTTCAGATTGCATTCTCCCAGCATCAATCACAAAAGGGCATTGGCTGTAATCCTCACCATTCTGACAATGGCATGGCCATAGCATTGCCAATGCCATTGCCAAAATGTTTGCCAGCCAAACACCCCATTCTTTGTTTGGAGAAAGTATCCAAGCATAAACCTGATAAGAGGTGGATTTCCCTAATTACTGAATTTTGAAAATTCAATTGAAGCCCTCAGATTGAATACTAATCTCCTCAAAGTGCAGTAGTGCTTAGTCTAGAATTCCAAAAATGTAAGGCTTTTTGGAAATACAGCACAGTATTATCCTTGATCCGAATTTTGCAGAAGGCTGAAAATCCTATGTGCAATTTCTGTGAATCTTCAACCGTGAATGATTATGTAAATCTGGTCAAAATAATGTTCAAACAATGCTTTGACTCTTGAAAAGTTTTGTGAAAGTTTTGAATGATGAGAATGCACAAAGAATCCTAAAGGCGTGAACATTGTGTTTCATATTGATCCAGCTTGGATATAGCCTGGAATGTGCTTAGAGGGTGTGTGGGGATATTTGGAAAAAATTTGATGAACCTTGTAAATGCTGAGAAGCAGCAGTAATTAAAGCTTGTATTACAGTCAAACCCCACACAATGGACTTAATTTGTGCAACAGACTAGTCTGTGGTGTGAATAGTCCTTTAGACAAATGAGGAAATCTATACTTATAATTTTTACCAATAATTTTAAACTAACAGAAGTCTTTAAGGCGGATTTTGTCCATTAGGCAGGAGGAAAACCATCTTCAGAGGTGGTCTTTCAAGCAAGAATGCCTTAGGTGGGAGGACTGTTAATTCTGTGCAGATATACTGTAAATTAATCAATCAATAAATCCTAGCAATTTTAATTTTCAGATTTTCAGAATTGGTGGCATTTTGTGGTTAGAAAAGGAAACATTTTATTTATCTTCGATTATTCCCAACTTTAGCCATTATCAAACTAAGAAAGCTAAGAGTCAAAAGTTGGAACAGGCAGAAATTCATGCATTTTTGCAAGAAAATGTTCGTCAGTCACTTTTCCTTCACCTAAAATGTTGCTTGTCAATTTTTAATTATTTACTTTTTTTTTACACATGATCACATATGTACAGTACTGTACTTCAAAAAGGTTTCGAAACTGATGTCCTTGAGCTTGTTTTCGCAGTAGAAACTCGTCTTGTGAATCAAAAGGAACTGAATGAGAACTCGACTCGCCTGAATAACGGAGAATTTGAGAACAAATAAAAAATATTTAATCCTTCCTTTTTCCAATTTATGATCAATGCAATAAAATAAAATCAAAACGAAATGCAATTTCTCAATCGGTATTAGAGTATCTTCACTCGCGTCTTCTGGATTCTGAGCCCCTGGAAGAAGACAGCCGTTCTGATTGCGGCCGACGGCGTCCACCTCCAAATGACCTGAAGGCGATCATTCTCTTTGGGTTGATCCCTGAACCAGATCCGGATCCAGACCCGACCCCGGAACCCGAGCCCGAACCCGACCCGGCGCCGCTGACCAATTGTTGCTCGCGTCTTCCGAGTTGTTGACGTCGCCGGACGCCGTTTCCACCGACTTGGCCGCCCCGGAAGAGGAACTGTTGCTGAATGCTGTTGGTGTCGACGCGGCCTTGGCCCGTGCCGACGGCGGTGGCGGCCACTGCGGTGCCAGTGCCGCCGGCGATCGACGTGTCGACGACTGGGAACGACGATGACGACGGGTCGGGGTTATTATTGCGACTTCGTTCGTTCTGACTGCTTCTTGGCCGACTGGAACTTCGTTGTGCTGACGACGCTGTTGCCAGGGCTAGAAGAGATTTAATATTTTTTTATTAAGTCAGGTTTAGTAGTAATTTTTTTTTTCATCACGGGATACTCTTCCTCGTTTTCGAATCAAAATAAAAAATAGACTTTTGTCTAATGCTATAATACTGAATCTTATCGAAGTTTCACCCAATAAATAAATTCTGCTGATACGAATTATCAACACAAAAACATTAAGTTTGGAATTTAAAAGAAACATGCATGAAAATTATCAGTACGGAAAAGGGTATATTTTTCCCCGGAGAATCGGAAAAGAAGTACTGTACTGAGCTTTAGTCTCTCTTTATTTTCAGACAATAATGCAAAAATTAGTTATTTCCCAATTCAAGTACTGGAATTTAAAAGTATCTTGGAATACAAGCTGAACACTTTTTCCTGTGACTTGTGCTCATTAATTGCTTTGCGTTGAAATTTTAATCGTAAAAAAATGGTGGCAATTCATTATTCATGAATTTGTAAATGAAACATTCCTGCAATGTTTTTGCCTTTAATACCCATCTAGTGAATTATTCATCACATTTTTTAATGTGCTGGAATGAAATGAATGAATGTGTGAAGGGATGTTTTGAACTTTGTGAATGCTGACAATAGTGGCAAATGAAGCGTTTATATGTATCAATCAAGCAATCAATTCAAGTTCGATATTCCATTATCACGTCTCTTAGAAACAGACTAGAGCTAAGTGTAAATTAAGGTGAAGGTGCTGGAGAAAATTTACAATGCACCAGGTTCCCGCAATATGTAAATGACCATGGAGTATCCTCAAAAAATATATGCGTCACATTGTTGGTGCATGGTGAGTCTGTCTATGTCATATCATGAATTAAACACTGTCACAGGACGAAAGGGACAAAAATAATGATTTTGTGCAAACGTAACATTAATTCGGTTGAAATTATTACCATGTTTTTAACAGTGAGATGAAAAAATACCAAAGAGAGAAAAGATGGTACAATTTTCAGCCAAAAGCTCGTGAGTTTCAGAAAATTGAGATCTAAAATATCTGATACTTTTTCCAAGGCATAGTGAAATACACAAGTTTTTCAAGTTGATCAACTGTGTTTTGTGTATCTGGAACAGATTTACAAATTTGTAGCGTAATTTGAGAGGAATCCGGTTTTGCATATTGAAATTTTGAACGACAAAACTCATCCTGGAGCAAAATAGCTCCATGGGGACTTACTGTGCTACGAAGTTATTAATATGGTGCCTTCTACAGTGAAAATGATTTATCACAGAGGGATACCAATTGTATGTTGTCTTCCTTAATTGCACTGATTTTTTGCATCTTCGACTTACAAGAAAATGTAAACCTTGAAAATTGAAGAATCTAGCACTCCTGGTACGTCACAGTCGTCCATTTTTTGAAATGAAAACCACACATACGTTTTCAGGAAGCTTCACAAAATCAAGAGAAGCCACGCGTGAGAAAAATTAGACTTTCGAATAAAGACAATTTTGTGTAACAATGCGTGAAGGCGGAAGTTGTATGAGGTACCACTGTATAATTACTGAATAGAATCCTTGACTTATAGCAAGTGAATTGAAAGACGGACAATTTTTATTTGGCGCAAAATTTGGCTCGGAGTGGACAAGTCAACATTTCATTCTAAAAAAAATATTTCGTCATTTTTCTTCGACAATCGATCTTTCCCTGCGAAAAGGATTTTCAGCATAGGCTGAAAAATCAGGGGTTTTTTTTTACCTCTATTGGACTATTTTCAAGAAAAAAATCACTCATGACTGTGCACTTGTTCAAGAAAGTTTCTCAAATCTCCGACTTCATTGACGCTGAGCCTTTTTTTCAGACATTTCAATAGGTCAAGGTTGGAGGAGAGATTTAATTTTTCTTCTCTTCTGATAGTTCTGAAGCATACAATTTTTTTTACAAAAGAAAAAGACACGGATATTTGAACGCACTCACCCAAGAGAAGAACCACCGTGAAGGTCTTTAGATAAACCATTGCGAAATAAATCGACTCCTGCACCGAGAAAAAAAAAAGAAGCACTAAATGATTGATAACTTGAAATGAATCATTTTCCAGTTTGTTTTCTGGGCTCACTAATCAATGGTAGTGGAAACTGACGAGATGCTGAGCCTCAGAAGGCGCGGAATAATCTGTTGAGGGCCGAAGACATCCAGGACCTTTTTATAGAACTTCCTCCTTCGAAAAAAAAACATTATTTATTTTTTTGTTCATGACTGGATCGAATTGTCCAGTTAACCATCAGGAATTAATTTGTTTTCTTTAATCTTGGCCTTGTGAGAAATAAATTTTTCTTCTGCGCAGAAGAATTTACTGATGGATTGCATAGCAGAATTTATATACAGTATTCAGCAGCGAGCAGTTAATTTTTAAAGATAATCATGTACAGGAAGATCCAGTATTAAAATTTGTCAATATTTTTGAAAAAGTATCAAAGAATGCTCCACTTGGACTTGATATTTTCAACGAGAGAAAAAAATGTCTCGTATGCACTGTGATCCACTTCGAGCCACGCATGTTGATTTCAAATTTCCATTTGCCTTTCGTGAATTTTTACATAGTATCTCACTGGAAAATGTTTAGGGATGAAACGAGCACAAGCGACAGTTCGAAATTTTTGCTATTCAAACTCGTGCAATAAATGTTTGATTCTCTCGATTTAGACATTTTAAAAAATGTATTGGAAGCGAGCTTTGAAATGACTGGTTGGTCTCAGCAAATTTAATCCAACCAGTAGCAGCCCAAAAATAAAATGAAGACTCCACACCTTTCAATTCACTCGCAGCTATATTTTATGCAAATGTTCTTTCTTTATAAAACGAAAACCCAAATATACAATAATAATCCATCACGGAAACACTATTCATCCCATTTCAGGAATCTTTCGTCAATCACATCCATATTTTTTACTTGAATCCACATTGAAGAGATCCGACATTTCAGCGACACAGCTTTATTTCGTTTAGGGAATGATATTCGTGTCCATTTGAATGGAACCAAAACGCGAGAGAGCATGTAACTAAGGAAAAGTAATGAGCAGAAACTGTCACAAAAGTTTCAATGGAAAATAAATATGTATTATTCCGTTTCGTTTTCAGCTTTGTTCGGTATACAATTCGCTCGAGTTTTCGGTCGTCTGTCCGAAGCATGAAAGCCGGAATTTCTGGCAATCTGAGAAAGAAGATAAGAAAGTATTGAATCGACATTGAAATCATCGAAAAATATTTCTTTAAGCTAGGACAATGAATGTGTAAAAGGTTAAGTTGAAGCAGAGAATGCGTGAATCGTGGACAAATTTCGCTTTTGCAATTCCATCATTCGGGAGAAAAATTACTGGGTGACTTTTTAGTCCCGGAAAATTGATAATCTTCCTGATGCGAGATATTTTCGAAAACAATTGTGCAGGACAGACTAGAATCTGTATTTTCAAGTTTTTACTTTTTAAAATTATTGATAAAAAAAAAGTGATCCTCATCAGTACTCACCAAATATTGTATAAACTTTTTAGATTTAATTGCGAGATCGTCCCCCAGAACGTCGTGAATTCCTGTCCCTGGACGGGCCGAAGTTGCGGATATTCTCACGGGTGCCACTGTTCCGGCCGCTATCCCTGTTCCTTCCTCCTTCTCGGGTACTGCTACTTCTGGATCGGATCCTGATCCCACCCCCGAACACCGGTCCTCCGAAACCTGGGCGCCTGGACCCTGGTCTTCCGAAACCCGGTCGGCCGAGGCCAGGGCGGCCTAAACCTCGGCGGCCGAACCCGAACTGGCAGGATGCATAATCCAGATTCACCAGGACAATTACGACTGGGAAAATTCGAAAGAATTATTGTCACACCAAATATTTTTTGACTCGTTCAAATATTGAGAGTGCGTGGGTGAAAATTGTGAAATAAACACTTGTTTGCGTTCTCGGTTCTTCTACGTAAACATTATTTCTTTTAAAACGTCTGAGTTATTGATTTGACACGAATTTGCACGTCAAAAATTTTTTTCAACTTTTTTTTTTTTTACTTACCCACGATGGCACATAGTTTGGTTAGGGTCAGATAACCCATGTTGATGCTGTGAACTTGATGCGATTGGTTGGTTCTATTCAACCCGTCAACTGAAAATTCCTTGTTCGACTGGTGACCCAAGCCCACTAACCGCCCAGGTTTTTATCGATCTGCACCTCATGGTGGGAAACTAGGCTTTCCAACCATTGAGGACGACCTTGCTGCTGACAAGCGAGTTGACCCAGTAAGCCATTGATGTACTCATCTTAATTGGTACAATGCCATGTGGATCTCGTTGATCACAGCTTTGTTTTGAATCTCAGCTTTATATTGTTTTGCATGCAAAGAAACAAACAATTTTCAAAAAATAAAATAAAATATGTGGACATTCAAAATATTGTTTGTTTTGTTTCCTGCTCAAGAGCCAAGACATTCATCATGATATTTCGTTGTCTTAAATTTGTTATGAGATTCAAACATGTGCCCATGAATATTTCAAGTGATCTGGTAGAACATGAGGAGAATAGTCATAAAATTTGTTAAGCTAAAAGAAATGTACTCCAATGGTCAATTTGGTTTTTGTACATTGATATGTTTTCGTTTACACCAAATTAAACAGGTGGACTATGTCTAAAACAATCTCGTCAACAAAAGTATAATATGATTTTATCAGTCCTGTTAAAGTGCTCCCCTATGGGATTCTCTACTCAACTTCAGACATGTTTGCACAGAAAGAAGCTTATTGTGGTATTTTTGAAATTGGTAATTGCACTTGAATGACAGAGTTCTGGCATTTATTCATTGAATTATACTTTATAGAAATGCCATTTAGCTTATATTCATAATTTTTAAAACTGTATTCCTTTACCAATAGGCAGATATTTTCTGTCCAGTGAGAATTCTAATAGAATGAGAAAAGATTGCTTCCATATGATGCAAGCGTTTTGTTTTCATTGGGCTTTCTTTGGTATTCTCTTTATCCATTAACAGGATTCAATCTTTAGTATTAATTTGAGATGGATTATAAAATTACAGTATTGCAATAAATGTAAAAAGCCAAGTGTGGAAATCTTGAAAAGATGTGTGATTACCCTTCTGATTGCAGTTGGGCAATAATACAAAGAAATACATTGTAAGCAATATTGATTGGGGATTTGAAAGATTAATGCCTTGCAATTCTGATTTTGGTTGGGGAACAATTTTCTAGGTGGAATGTATTTGCAATCTGGCAGTTAAATTTTCAATTGCAATTAACAACCCTGATAGGTGGACTCTAAAATGAAATACAAGGGATAAGAAAATAATTTTTGTTACCAGAATTGTGGTAATGGAGAACTCCTAAGACACATGAAGAGAAACCCATATGTGACCAAAACATAAATTGTTGTACAAATAATATAGCTGTTGTGGACAAGATCCTTATAGAAAGAGTCCACGTATATAAAGTTTTGTGTGTGCTTGATTGTCTCCTTATTTTGCACAGTTTGTGTTGCAAGCTTGAAACCAGTTGGCAAGTATCATCCAGAGCAAAAAAATACAAAGGTTGTATTCATTCTTCACCAAACGTGAGTATTGGTCATTTAATTTTGAAAGTTTGTTGTTGAAATCCTCTAACTTTGGAATAATCCTTGCACAGAAAGGCTGACAAGCAGCAAATGAAGCTTGTTTTACTAGAAAAAAACTGAACATTATTTTACTGTCTGTTGGGGAACCAGAACTCGGGCCCAGGGAAGTCAGGTCCCTGGACCTGAATTCTGGTCCTGTTTTCCTTTGTGTAGTGCATCTGTTCCCAGGATGCGCATCTTCTTTGATTCACATTTTTTCTGCCAATCACAGACAAGGAAAAAGTCCAATGCTTCAGTCAGGTCAGCTGACAGAAGCATTGTGCTAAATTGTATAAAAACCCAGCACTGTTCCACTCCCAATAATGAGTTCTTAAAATTAGCTCTTACAGTAAACTTCCCTCAAACATTCCAACCCCAATTCTTCTGATTGAATTGTTGCTTTGCATCATTGCACCATAAATTTGTGTGCACAAATTTATTGTCTTCATTGAATGTGTGTTTCATTATTGCATTTATTGTGATACATAACTATTTTATTGTGTTTGATTATGATTCATTGTGGACTGTGATTAAACCAGACAAAACTAGGGATATGTAATTAAGGTACCCCATTAATTACATATTCCTGGCCACAAACCAGCTGATTGCCCTGCTTTATTATTTTCCACCTTTTCTTTCACTGCACTATGGTTGAATTCTTTACAAGGGTTCTAACAAAAGTTCTTGGAGTTGACCACAAGCTGTCACTGGAGGTGGAAATTTTTTTTTAATTGGATTCCTCATCCTTTTTTCAACCTAGGACCATTTTCTTCATCCCTAGACAAAAATGGAAAATGGAAAAAATTTTTGAATGAGTTTTTTCTGGTGCTGTGCCCACCCATTCTAACAGAAGTTCTCAGAACAAAAATGAAAAGGAATACTTTTGGGTGAAAAAAATTTTTTCTTGACAAAAAACATTTGAGAAACACAGGAAAAATCTTCAGCTCTGTTCAACGTATTTCCCACCAATGGCAATGCACTTTTCAAGTCAATGCACCCATTGTTGAAAGCAGTGAGAGAAACTTTATTTTTCAATGTTTTCCAGCTCCACAGTCACAACAGAAATAAGCTCTTCCCTTGTTCCAAACACTTTCCCTCAAAGCCCTTCTTTCACTGTTGGAAACAACCAAAAATCACAGGGAGCAAGATCAGGGGAGTAAGGATGAGGAGTCAAAAGCTAAATGCCAAAATCTGAAATGAAATCAAGAGTTTTCAAAGCAGCATGCACAGGAGCATTGCTGTGGTGCAAACAAAAATTCCTGAGCTTCTTCTGAGGGCGGCCTTTATGGATTGATTCAAAAAATGTTGGAAGGCACTCTTTCAGGTACCACTCTGAGGTTACAGTCCTCCTTGTTTCAAGTGGAATAGCACTCGCAATTCCAGAGTGAGAAAAAA